AAGCTTATCAAAATTGTAAATTATATTGGGATAGCGAAGTAGCATAACAGAATTCAAAAGCTAGATTTTTTACTTTTGTTTTGAAATAGTTCACTACAAATGAGGCCAGAATGACCTCAAACTCTCTTGCTATTTTATATCATTATATAAAATTCCTAAAGTTCAGGCAGCACACTGGAATTTTAAGTTTGTTGTTTTGCTTTTTAAGACAGTTTCTCTGTGTAGCCCTGGCTGTCCTAGAACTTACTCTGTAGACCAAGCTGGCCTCAAACTTGGGGAGTTCCACCTGCCTCTACATCCGCTGGCATTAAAGGTATGTGCTGCCACTGCCCAACAATTTCAAGTCTCTTTAGGAGAACTCTGATGTGGAGATGGGAAGGTGAGACCATTGTGTAGATGTAATCACCCTCCAGGTAAGCAATTCCTACATTCATCCAAATAGCTTCCAGCACTACATACTACCATCCTAGGATAGCAGAAATGACCTGTGATCCCTGTAATTTTTTTTTTTTTTTTCAAGAACAGTCTCTCCATGTTGCCCTGGCTGGCCTCAGACATCCTCCTTCCTGCTGGAATTACAGAGGTGCACCGCCACAGCATCCACTATGCCACTTTTCCCTTACCAAGGAAGACAATGGTCTAGTGTGTGCAACCGGAATGGCATAGGGGAAACAGACTTTTAAAAGTGTTTGTGTGCATAAGCATGCATGCCCAGCCCAATGACTCAAAGACAGTAACTTCATGGAGTTGGATCTCTCCTTCCTTCAGGGTTTCTCTGTGTGGCCTTGGCTGTCCTGCACTCACTTTGTAGACCAGGCTGGCCTCGAACTCACAGAGATCTGCCTGTCTCTGCCTCACTGGGTGCTGGGATCACAGTCTTCTTCCACCTTTACCTGAGTTCCAGGGCTCAATCTGGATGCCGGATTTGCATTCAAAAAGTACCTTATCTGCTGAGCCATCATGCCAGCCCTAAGAATAGTTTTGAAAAGTGCATTCTTAGCTTCAGTGGTGTGAGAGGACTGATCAGAAGGCTCAGCAGGTGAAGACTTTTGCTACCAAGACTGGCAAACCTGAATTTGATCCCTGGAACACACCTGCTCCCTAACCTCCACATCTGCTCATCTGTGTGGAAGATGCACACATCCACAACCATACATATAACTTAAAAAAAAAAAATGTTTTAAAGTGTTAGGGAGCAGGCAGCAATACGGCTCAGCATGTAAAGGTGACTGTTGCCAAGCCTGATCAGCTGAGTTCCAGCACTAAGACTCACATTAAGGAAAGAGAACCAATTCCTGCAAGCTGTCCTCTAATCCCCACAGATGCCGTCACACACACTGAAAAAAAAAAAAAATCTTATGTGTCAACAAGGGACTAGAAAGATAGCTGAGTGGTTTTAAGAGCACTTGCTCCTCTTTCAGAAGACCCAAGTCAGTTTTCAGCACCCACACAGGGTGGATTACAAACACCTGTAACTCCCCTCCAGCTCCAGGGGATCTGCCACCATCTTCAGGACTCATAAGGCAGACCCACACAGTATTAAAAATGAATCCTAAGCCAGGCAGAAACAGCACACACCTTTAATCCTAGCACTCAGGAGGCAGAAAGAAGCAGTCAGATCTTCTAGGCCAGCCTAGTCAACAGAGCAAGTTCCAGAACAGCCAGGAATACACAGAGAAACGCTGTCTCAAAAAACAAACAAAAGCTTGAAGGGTCAAAAAGATTTCCCTGTTAATCACTGGTTCCTAGAGTGGTGCCACTTACCTAGTAGCCAATGCTGGAGTAAGTCCTCAGTTTCCCAAACTTTACAACAAATCAGGTGCAGACTCAGTATCAACCCCCGTTGAGACTGCACCGTACTGGCCACTAAATAACAGCGACAGCAACAGGCTTGTAGTGGAGATAATCAGATGCTGCTGTCAGGGTCCATCTGGGACGGAAAAAAGGCCCCAAAGCCAAAAAGACATGATGAAGCTGCCTGTACACACTTCATCAAAGATGTAGCCCTCTGCACCATATTCTTGGATAGTTCAACGTCCTTTCAACCTACAGGGTAATTACTCTTCCATCTCCTCTGTACTCCATCCCAAACCTAGCAAATAGACAGTGCACAGGCTGTCAGTTTGGAACTTCATAGTACATTAGGGGCCCGTGTGACTAACCAAGGCTTGGGGACTGCTCCAGTTCTGCCATCACAGGCAGATGAGGCACTGTGGACCTAGATTGTAATTCATTTGGGGAGTGGGGATTATTTTTTAGATAATCAAATTCTTTTCACAGGGACTTCAAAGGGAGAAATCTATGAGGGAGCAAGGACAGGCATCTGGGGGGCCCTATACCCTGCCTGAACCATATATGCCAACACATCACTCATTATCTTCATCTAAAATGCTCTTTCCTCAGGGCTGGAGGGATGGCTTGGCAGGTAAGAGTACTTGCTTCTCTCACAGAGGACCTGGGTTTGGATCATAGAAACCACACAGGGCCACTTGTAATTGTACTAGCTCCAATTCCTGGGAATCTGATGTTCTTCTCTGCCTGCTTAGACATGTATGTACAGGTGGTATATATGAACATCTGCATTCACATAAATCAAAAAATTTAAGGAGCCGGAATGATGGTTCAGCACTTAAAAGCATATACTGTGGTTCCCAGCATCCACATTAGCTGGTTGTGACAGGCGGAAACCCCACAAACATGTATACGGAATTTAAAAGTTGGTTTTGTTGGCTTTTTAAATAAAAATTTAACTGCCATCCTTTTTAGCAAAAGGATCTCATTATATACCCCACGCTGGCCTTGAATTCATGGTCTTGGCTCAGCCTACCAAATGCTAGCTTAGGGGTGTATCACCATACCCGATTTGGAGTGGGGGTGGACTACCTAGTGAGCACTAAATCCAATCTCAGCTGTCAATTTAAACATCCTAGGACTAAGCCCTTTTCCACACACACACTAGAAACCCTGGGTCCCTCCCCCTTTAAAACTTGTGCGTGTCCATGCACGCGCACGCACGCCACAGACTGCATATAGAGGCCAGAAGACACCATGAGTCACCAGGCTTGTGTGCCAAGTGCCCATACCTTGCTGGGGCACTCACCTGGGATCCCTCCTTACAGCACACTTTTTTTGTTTGCTTGTTTTCAAGTCAGGGTTTCTGTGTACCCTTGACTGTCCTGGGCTTGCTCTGTGTGCCTCTGCCTCCCAGGGCAATGGATCACAGGCGTGCACTATGGCGCCTGGGTCCTTATAGCGTACCTCACACCTCACCTCTGGATGAGTTAGTTCTGAGTAAGATGAGTAGCTAAAAAGAATAGCTGGCACTCTAAAGATGAAGGCTGAACTTGACAGACACACTCTCCTCTCATTTCAGACCCCTCATTTGGGGGTGCTAAAGTATGCACAAACCTGAGACATGAATGATGGTTAAAAAATTTTGGGTTTTATTGTTTTTGCTAAACAATACTAAAAAAAAAAGTTCTTTCCATTTTGAAGGCAGGGCTTGAATTATTTAATTTTGATCCATTTATTTAATTAAAAAAAAAAAAAAAAAGGAAGGGAAAAGAGATCATGGCCAAAAATAAAAATAAAAAAATTAGCCCCACCTTACCCCCAAAGCTCTAGCCAGTCACATGAGCATCACCATGTCCACTCAGTGCCTGATATCCAGGTGATGGCACTCTGCCCCACGAGACTACCCGGGAGGTGCAGGGGCAACAAGTACCAGTTTCGGCTCTCAGCAGGTTAGTCAGACCAGGCAAACTGGTGGGCTAAAGTCCAGAAATTCTTTCCAGGTTTTCTGCCCATTGGCTGAGCACATACAAACTGTCATTAGCTTGTAAGATTTCAGGGGGTAGGACGGGGCAGAATGGTAGAAGAGAAACTAGAGGGAGGTTATTCAAGCTTTTTCCTGGGCTAGAGGCTCTGGACATGGACTTAAGAAAGGTCAGGGTAGATGGAGTCCAGGTTTCTTAGAAGAGAAAATCAGCCCAGAGGAGGAAGAGCTGAGGTGTGCCAGGCAGGCGAGTTCTTCCTGCAGAGGCACAGGGGGAAGGGCGCTGACTCCCGTGTGGAAAGTGGTGAGAGTTCGTCTAGTACCATGAAGACAAAGGCAGAGGGAGTCCTGAGGTTGGGACCAAATGTGAGACAGGTACATACAGTTAAAGACCAGAAAGCCATCAGGACCCTCAAGGCCAAATCCCATGTGCACATTGGCTCTGCAGGGCTGCAGGAGATCCTCGCTGTGAACTAAGTCAAGTTAACCGTCAGGCTCTGGGTAGAGGAAAGGACAACACATTTTTGTTTTCAGAGGTGGAAGAGTGGCCATGATCTAGTAAAAAGAGACCTGCAAGAAGCAGAAAATACTTAGAGAACATTTTAATATATATTTCCATATATATATTTAAAGTTAAGAAAAATAAAACTAATTCAAGCCATGCCCTGTGCAAAAAAAAAAAAAAAAAAAAAAAGTCAAAGAAAAAAATGAAAAAATTTAAAGTGAGACCTCTGTCTTCTGCTCTGGTCTCAACTTTAGAATCACAGTCAGCTTGTTACTTTTATTTTGGAAGAAAAGATGTAAAAGTTTCTTTCAATCATTCAGAAGGCAAGTATATCCACTTATAAAAACAAAAATGGCAGAAACAGACTAGGAAAGGAAAGTCATAGATGAAGGGCAGAGTGGAAAGGAATTTGCAAAAATAAAACTAACAAGATGACTGCTCCAGAAGGGGCTGTAAAAAGGACATGGTGGGCCAAAGTCTGTTAGTCAAGTAATGATTCAACTTTTCAATTATTCTCTTGTTCTTTTTTTGTTGGGTGTTTGTTCAAGTCTAGGTTTTTGGTTTTTTTTTTTTTTTGTTTGTTTGTTTTCTTTTTTTTTTTTTTTTTTTTTTTTTTTTTT